GATGATGCAGAGCTCGCGCACAGGTTTAACTGGTCAGCACAGAAATTAGAATCATAACAGTGATCAGAAAAGTGCAAATCTGAATATCACATAATTACACAAGATAAGACTGAATCCAAAGTACGTCCACGCTGATGGGAGGGAGCGCAGACTGAACACGATTAAAAGAGTCAGTAAGGTTCAGCACGTCTTTCAGAAGAGGTTTAGTGGAGCAGCAAACATGAAAATTAAAATCCCAAAGAATCAGAATCATTCTGGATAAAAAGACCTTAAATAAAATCCTTGTTAAACTTCGGAGCCCATAAATATCAGCAGTGAGCTGTCGTGACCTCTCAGACCTGTGTGTGTGTGTGTGTGTGTGTGTGCGTGTGTGTGTGTGTGTCTCTCCACCAGGAGTATCTTGAGTCCATTCACCAGCTTTATGAGGAGTGGCTGATTAGGCGCACCTCCTGGCCTGTTCCTGCTCCTGTGTTGGTGAGTGTTCACACGAGCACAGCTGTGCTTTCAGGTACACTCACTCAAACCACACACAGTGAATTACACTGATAACAGTGATTTGGGGAAACCTTGGGTTCTTGTCTCATGCCACCCACCTAAATATTGTTGCAACTAAGCCCACCCCCATAACAAGGACAGGACAGTGCACTCTTCCACACGGATTAGAAAGACGAGGAACCTGGGCCCAAACTCCCAGGTCTGCTCGAGCATCTGATGCACAGAAGCTCGAGTTGCTCGACCCGAGTTGTTTTTGAAGCACGAGTTGTGTCAGTGTGATTGGACTCGTTGTTATTAAAGCATGTCATACTGTATGCCTCATTCACCCATCCACACACAACACATACGAGCACTTTTTTCTATTCTTTCTATCCAACTCAATCCACTCATTTAGAAGATCTTTGCTGGAAAAATGGTCACTGTACAGAAGAGCCCTGTGTAGTGGTGTTCTTCCTGTTCATGCATTTATTACTTCTTATCAGGATGTCCTAAAAACTCCCTGAAAAGCCTTCAGTTGATCCCAAACACTGCAGCGACAGGGACGTTCAGCCCCCACAGTAGACTGAGAGGCGGAGCCTTCAGCTTTCAGGCGTCTCTTGTGGAGTAGCAGCTCTGTTTTGATTCAGAAGACTGTCTGCTGTCAGGATTACGCTTCAAACATTGCTTTGTGATGAAGCATGTTCAACCCCACTATGAAGAACGCTTGGGAAACCGTCCCTACAGTTAGTTTTATCCAGGTTTGTCCTTTAGTGCAGCGTAGACACACTGTATCATCGTTTGTTTTAACACCGGCTTTAATCGCTGGTTTGGAGCCATGTTTGTGCTGCTTTCTGTGTAGAGTAAACCCCTCATAGCTGACACTGACCTTCCTGATATTTAAGAATGATGTGTTTGTTTGCAGGTGATTCCTGCTGACCACAACCTGCAGAGCATGCTGCACCAGTACGAAGAGAACCGAGCCAAGATCCTAGCAGCAAGTCTGTGATGCACGAACGCGCTCGTGCTAACCCAGCCTGACAGGAAGCTGTTACATCACCTTTTTTAAGCCATTTCTGATCTTACACCTCGTCACATGTGACATTTTTGTATGCACTCCCAGGTCAGCCATTCCTATTCACGAAGACCAATCTCAGTACATTTAATTACAGTTTTAAAGTAAAATGTAATCGATGTGCTCACAAGAAACTATTGAGAAACTGAACATGAGAGCAGATCATTCCAGTGCTCGAGCCGAAGCCCGTCAGCCTTCAAAGATGCTGCGGCTCAGGCTGCTCCTCAGATCTTATCTGCTGTGTTTTTCCTGAGAGCGTGATGAATCCTCCGAGTCTGAGGAAGTGTGTAAGTGAAAACTCTTCCTACAGAACAAGTTCAGTGACAGCGTTGTGTCACTTCAGACCATGAGTTATACGTCCTGGTCTGATCATCACTCTGTATCACTCCTCTGTCCTTTACCTGCATCTGCTCTGCCACCTGAATAAAGGAGCCTGTTTCCATGAAAACAACATTTAGTGTTTGAACAGGCTGTGTGATCCGGCACATGAAGCTCAACCTGTGAAACATCTGCTGCTGCCGCACACATGACTGATCAGTCGAGTTTACAGCGCTTGAAGGATCACGCACTAACTGACAGAGTAGTTCCAGAGTTGGCTGCATTGTGTTAGTAATAAAATGATTAAAGCAGTTTTTGTGATTTTATTTTATTTTATTTTATACACTTTGTAATTGTGCTCATTAAGAGTTGTTTCTGTGTAATAAAAGTCAAAAGCATCATTTAAACAATGTGATTGAACTGAATTATTGCGACTGACGTGTTGACTGCAGAGGGATTAGCAAACTGCTCACACATCAGTTAAAGTCAGGCGGATGTTTTTCTGAGTCCAACAGACTTGGATAATAAATATAAACTAGTGTTGGGGCTGCAAGTATAAAGCAGCTTGAGCTTAAACATTGCTGTGGTTTGGTGCTATAAATAAACAAACGTGACAGCTTTTAACCAAAGGAAAAAAATGACCAAACTATTGTTTGTCCTCCATCCACCAACAGAAGATGAGCCATGAGTGACCTGAGACCACAGAGGCAGCATGCACACACGTGTTTTTGCACTGCACCACTTTACTTAGACATCACTCTTCCATCCACAGTGTTGGGAAGGTTACTTTTAAAATGTATTCCATTACAGATTACAGATTACATGCCCCAAAATGTATTCTG